GAGGAAGAAAGAGAGAGAGAAACACCAATGTGTGGTTAACTCTCACGTGGCCCCCACTGGGGACCTGGCCATCAACCCAGGCTCGTGCCCTGAGCGGGAATCGAACTGGTGATGCTTTGGTTTGTAGCCCATGCTCAGTCCACTGAGCTACATTAGCCAGGGCTCATTCTCTATTTTAATAACTTTAATTTTTTTCCTTCTGACAATTCCTTAAAAATTTTTAGTAAACCAAGCATTTCCTTCCATATTTTGAAGATAAATTCTAAAATATTTTATCATAATTTTAAAAATTGCAAATAATTTAAAGATTATTGTAACATTAGGTGTTTAAAAATAAAATTGCTACATTTCTTTAAAAATCAGAATTGACTCTATTTTGAGACTCTTCATTACTGACTTAAAATATACACATGCCAACAAACTCTTTTTTAACATGTGGAAATCTTACATCTTTCATTTATGTCTTTTAATTAATATTTTTATGGCACTTCTCTCACAAAATTTCATTCAAGAACAATATATTTTTATATTTTTTCTTGATTATATCATCATGCCATCTAGGAAAAAAGTGTGTGTATATTGAAATTTAAAATTTTCCTTCATGTCCTATTATAATAAGAATCTTAAATTTTCTCATATAAAATTATTAAAACTAAAAAATAAAATTTTTGTTAGAAACACATCTCTTTATAAGACACATAAAGTTTTAAATAGTTCTTGCATTGGTAGCTAATTGAATAAAGGGTATACAATGTAGTGAGTATTTTGTGTACAAATATATATTGAATTGGTTCTAAAAATGGTATTGTTATCTTTTGTCAATATGAGATTCAAAACACTAAACTCCTTTTAGCCTCACCTGCGGGCATGCTTATTGATTTTAGAAAGACGAAAAGGGAGGGAGAGAGAGAGAGAGAAACATTGATGTCAGAAAAAAACTGACAGGTTGTCGCTCAGTGTGTCCCACTGGGGACAAAACCTAAAACCTAGGCATGTATCCTGAGCTGGAATTGAACCCATAACCTTTGGGTTTATGGGAGCACACTCCAACAAACAGCTACATCAGCCAGCACTAAATTTTTTATATTAAACAAAATATAATGAGGTTTGCATACCATTATATTAATTATTTTATAATATAATCACATGAAGTAGGTTTTAAATTAATTTTTGAAAATACATATTTCATCTGTAATGAATCACAGAAATTTGGCATCTATGGCTTTATTCATCATTGCATCTTTGAAAGTTTGGTTGTTTCAGAAAATATCCCAGTAACATTTAAAAGAATCGATACCCCTGGCCTGTACTACTTTGGTTGTTTTAATGTGCTTTCTTTTAAACCAAAGATACTGCTTAGAAATAAGTATTGAGGATAACTAAAACAAACTATTTATTTAAAATTCTTAAAAGCCATTTTTACCTTTAATTTCCTATTGATATTCTTTATACTTTGGTCTTATATTTTTCTCCCTCAAGAACAATGCACTCTTTCATATTATTCACCTAAACATAAGGCAAAGTCATCAAATGAAACTTATCACTGCTGTCTCATCTGCTCACTCTACCATATGTATGACTTCAGGACATTCCATCAGGACAAAAATATGGAGAGAGTATATACTAATGACGTTACAACAAAACCTGTATCTGGACGTCACTTGCGTACCAACATGTTTCTTTAGCAGATGTAAGCAGGACAAGGCAGGAAGGCCCAGTGATTGTTTTGGTTGGCATGCTAGCAGTTGGGGAATGGGTCAAGGATATTTCTTTATTTTGTAAAGTAGAAGTAGTGTTATTATAAACTTAGATATGTTCTCAGACAGATCAAATTTAGGAAAGCAAAAAAATGTAATTTGATTCTTTTAGTGCCCTCTGCACTCGTGTACCCCTCAGAGGGTGTGGTGTCAACATAATCATGATGTGTACCCTCATTGAAGGATGCCGTTCAGCAAGATTATTCCAGGTAAACAAAGCACATCCACCACACACAGCACAAAATTGTTTCAGGAAGTAGGCTTTCCAGTGGGTTTTGGTTATTATAGTTATAAATTTTATTTATTTTTATTTTTTAAAGATTTTATTTATTTATCTTTAGAGGGGAAGGGAAGGAGAGATGGAGAGAAACATCGATGTATGGTTGCCTCCCGTGCATCCCCTGCCAGGAACTGGCCTGCAACCCAGGCATGTGCCCTGACTGGGAATGTAACTGCAATCCTTTGGTTCGCGGGCCTGCGCTCAATCCACTGAGCTACACCAGCCAGGACTACAGTTATAAATTTTAAATAATACATAATCAAAATATAAAATTTTATAATGCTTCTGCACCTTGGAACCTTATCATGGAGTGTTTGGTAATAGAATTTAATATTTTAAGGTTTTTTAATTGTTCAATTATGGTTGTTCCTGTTTTCTTCCATTATTCTCCCATGCCCTTCCTAGCAACTCCCCACATATAATTCTCCCCCACGTTGTCCGTGTCATGGGTCTTTTATACATGTTCCTTGACTTGACCCTTCCCCATATTTCCCCTTTGACAAGTTTAAACATGTGTGTAAAAAGAATATAAAGAAACTAGGTACTATAGCTAATACCCTAAAGTTAAATTAGACACACAACAGTGTAAGCTGCAAAATAGCAGATTCAAAAATTTCATTCATATTGATAATCTACTTAATCATAAATCCCACAACCCTGAGATTATTCCGTTATTCCACGGAATAATCAAATTAGAACTGTAAACTTCACTTATAAATAACCACATAGTTAAATTTTTATTTTGGTAAAGATAGCTATATCTGTACAAATTCAACTAAGACTTTAAGTGCACTTAAATAAAAAATGGCATAGAGAGACAGGGCAGCTGAATGAACAGTGCCAGGGCCTGAGGATTTAGTTGTGCATGGCTAAAAAGAATTTGATATATTGGAATGGGAAAGAATATTAGTGAAGACATTGATGAAGAGTAATTTAGATTAATAAACAACAAGTATTCTCAGAGACTAGCATTCTAGATTTTAAAATAATACTTCTTAAATCGCAATTTTTAAGTATGGATATGACTAAAATAACCTATCATAAAATGGGGATAAACTTGTCACAAGTCTTTCCCAGTAACAATATAAAAATGTTTGAAATGCATAAGTATTAAAAATATTTTATAAAATATTACCTTTTTAAAACTCACACTGCCTCCATGACTCTATAAAAGTTTATAAATACAATAGGATAACTGTAATGAAATATGTTATCTTTAGTCCACTTCAACTAATGTTTATAATTACATAGCCACTGTATCCAAGGTAGCATATGTAAGATGTTTCCTTAAATTTCCATTTTTCTCATGCAATTTTCTAAGTAGTATTATTAAGAAAATATATTCAGATAAAGTGGGGGAGGAGGGGGAAAAAAAAGTAGATAGAAAATAGAGGGGGAAAAGAAAAGGGCAAAAGAGGGGGGGGGGGGGGGGGGGGGGGGGAAAAAAACAAAAAAAACTAGATAAATTTCAAATCAATTGTCCTTCTAGTAATCCTTCAAGAAGACATGAGTATACATGGTTTTAAAAACATATATTCCTTAGAGTATTTTAACTAATGAGTGTTATCGACATTTTAAAAAATAGTATGTTAAATAATTATTTAAATTTTCTGTTGATTTGATGAACTGAGGCAATAACTTAAACAATAATTAAATAGCTTTGCATGACTTTGCAACTTATGTTAATCCTTACATGAAACTTAATTTTAAAATAATTACACAGAGAAATTAAAGTCAAAAGAAAAGAATAATTTTTTAATTAAATGCTTGATACTGACTTATGGAAAATAGGACATTCCAGTAGAATTTAATTTATAAGTATAACAAAATATTATTTATTTCATTTTTCCTTTTTTGTTTCTACTTGCTGACTAGTAACCAATTAGCTTAAACTTCGACTATGTTTATTCTAGGCACTGAGTTGGATATCAGATGTAAAAAGACTATATTCTGATATCAAAAACTTACACTAATGTATAATCTTTAACCCTGAATGTGATAGGTAAAATTCATCTTGTGTTCTTGAATTCTTATCCTGTGAATCAGGAAACCCACCTTTTCTTTTTTCTATAGCTCGATGAACGCTCTTATTTTTGAGTGGCTTTGTCACAGTCATATTTCACTGGCTTAGCTCTCTTTGGCTGAACAAATTTGTATTTTCCAAATTAATATACACTAAGTAGATTTTGCCCAACATAGTGAGGTGATCATTATCTGTTCAGGCAAGGCTGAAGCTACAAATTTGGATCCCACTGTTTACATCCACAGTTGTTCTAGGGAGATAGCAACAGGAACCAGCAGGATCTCCATCTCCTCTAGAATAAATTTTTTCAAGACATTGCAGCTAAGCATGTACAGCAATAATTAGAATATTTCAATTGTCTTGAGTGTGGCTTGTGTGTTAGCATTTTCTTGATCACACAAAACATTACCTCAGGATGGTATCCCTCTCTCCCTATTGTCTTTTGCAGACACGCTTTTTACTCTTTCATGTAAAAATCTCTGCCCTCTGGGGCTCTTACCTAAAAACTATACAACTTCTTCCTTGTTATTACTTAAAAATTTAAAATGTAATAAGAAGTAAGAAGAAAAATTTAGAATCAATAAATCTGGCCATAATGGGGATAAAGATCATGGACATCTTCTGGGCCATTTCCAAGGCTACAGAATTCATTCCTCATTCCCACAATTTGAACTCATGTTGACCTATATGTAGATAGGTTTGCATATCTACTGAAGAAGCCATCAATTAAATAATCAACTGAAAAACAGTAGGATCAGCTTCATTGGAAAGAGTCAAGGGTTTCCTTTCTGCACCATAAATCTTGATCTAATCATAAAATAAATACTCTACATTAAAATATATTAAGGCTAAATCTCAAGTAAAATATACTTGAGTCATACTGAAAATCAGTGTTACCAAAAGAAACTTTTTGCTTTAAAGATGGAAAAAGAAAACTAACCTTTTTTTTTCAAGGGAGGCTCCTCTATTTCTCCTAAACCAAGACAAAAATAATAAATTAGAAAAACTTGTAGCATAGCATAATAGTGTTTCTCTATTTTTCCTATTTTTCATTTCTTAAAAATATCTATTTATTTTTAAAAAATTTTTACTGTTGTTTCCCATTACAATTGTCCCCATTTTTCCCCTGTTGTTCTCCCCTGCCCCATCCAAATCCCACTCTCAAAGATAATCCCTACCCCTTTGTCTTAGTCTATGGGTCCTTTGTACACATTCCTTGAATTGATCCTTCCCCTTCCTTACCCCATTATTTGCCTCCCCCTATCCCTCTGGTCACTGTCAATTTGTTCTTTATTTCCATGTATCTGGTTCTTTTTTTCTCATTTGTTTGTTTTGTTGATTAGGTTCCACTTATAGGTGAGATCATATGGTAATTGTCATTCACTGCCTGTCTTTTTTCACTTACCATAATAGTCCTCATATGACTTTGTGTCCCAAATTCCAGTATTTAAATATAAACTTTGTTTATATACATTTATTAGACATAGTTTTTCTTTTATGTGTTCAATAAACTTGTGGCAGTGATCCAAATTACGCATTATGCTTCATATATCATGTTAATCCCAGTTCTCTATTGTTTTTCAACTTTCACTGGGGCCAAACATAAATTCAGACAAAGTCACAGAAAAGGCTAAAATAGTAAGAGCTTTCTTTATAGTAGTCAAGTCTGAATACATGATGTCTGATGTCTAAAACTGTCCTTAAAAGTGTCACTAAAAAGCAGAATCAAAATGTCTTGTTCTTTTAAGCCTACTCAATAGTAGTTTATGTATGATTTGAGTTTATTTCTTTTTATTCATTTTTGTGAAAGAGTACATAACTTAATTGCATAATTGTTGTGATTTTAGTAGGACTGCTTTTCACTCTTTGAGTATAAATATTATTTATGTATATAAAACACTTATATGAATATTTAGTTTTACTGTTATTTTAACTTTTCTAAGGATAAGCTTGAGAAATAGCTACTATTTTCCCCCAAAGAAGTATATGAATGTGTTTCTACTGTAGGTGTGTGGTAGCACATAATAAAACACTCTACTGCAATGCTACTCTAACAGTAGTGTTCAATTTTGACATCTTTACCATAATGGTAGATAAGCTATAAGGTGAAAGCCAAATGAGACCAATTTACTGAGGCTGGCATCCTGTTGATTTTCTATGAACATGCTGAAGTCTATTGATTTGGTTTAGACTGACCTAAGTTCTTATTTGTGCTTAAACTTAAGCAAATCACTGTAACGCATACCTAATACTGGTCATAGAAATCAGGTGTGTCTCTGTGCTCTTTGTACCTTTATCAGTGTCCTCATCCCCATCATCGTCTTCTTCTTCATCACCCTCAGATGAGATGATGTCAGACAACAAAGAAAAGAAGCCATAGACCCAGTCCGTGGTTTCCTCCACAGCGTGATGTGCAAACTTCAGAGGATCTGAGGCAATCTTGGAAATAGAGCTTGCTAAAAGTAGTTTTAAAAAAAGAAAATTTTATAGTTATTTCCATAAAGAAACTAAGAAACACTTTTTCCTGATTTGTTCTTTAGCCTACATAAATGTATCAATTTTATGGATTTAAATATCTCTAGGCTACATTTTTTCTGCTCAGAAACATTGGGTTGGCCAAAAAGTTTGCTAGTTTTTTCCCATACAATGGCTCTAGTAGTGCTTAGTTGTCTTTAACTTCATTCAAAACTATTTTGTTAGAATGTATTTTGACAGCTGTCATATGAGCATGCATTTAAAAAAACTTATCAAAATTGGTAAATTTTGATGTAGCCATTTTAATGCTGAAGATGGAAGAAGATGTGCAAAATTTTTGGCATATTATGCTTTATCATTTCAAAAAAGGTTAAAATACAACTGAAATGTAAAAAAAAGATTTGTGCAGTGTGTGGAGAAGGAGCTGTGATTAATCAAACATGTCAAAAGCAGTTTGTGAAGTTTCTTGGTACTATTGACATTTTGGGCAAATAATTCTTTGCTTTGGGGCTGTCTAATGCATTGGAAGATGTTTAGAAGCACCCCTGGACTCTACCCACTAGAAGCCAATGGTAGTCGATAGCCAACATATTCAAAATATCCAAATCAATAAAGTTATTGGTAAAAATAAAAAGTGTATATTTTATTTTATGGAAAGAACTAAATGAGCTTTTTGGCCAACCCGATATAAACTACATTTTGTTATAGCATGCATGTGTATTCAATTACAAAGAAAAGTTCTTGTGTTACTGTAATCCATATACTATGGGGCAACCAGGAATGAAATTGCCCTTGAGAAGTTGTTAGTTTAAGTAAGTGTTCAAAATGAGGAAAAATAGGAATAAATTAAGCGATGTATTCTTAGGTTATCCAAATTGCAATATGAACCATAAGTTACAGATGGTCAGAAACAGAAGAAATCATGGTGTTGTTATGTTCTCATTTCTTCTTTTTATGTTTATTTTATTTAATTTTATTTTTTCACATTTTTATTGTTGTTCAAGTTCAGTTGTTTTCATTTCCTCCCATCAGCCATCCCCACATCACACCCTTGATCCCATCCCCCTTTGGTTTTGTCCATGTGTCTTTTATACGTGTTTTTGAAAACCCTTCCCCTCCCCCCCCATCTCCTCCCACCTCCCCTCTGGATACAGTCAGTTTATTCTTAATTTCTTTCTGCTGAAAAAAAAAGTGCTCTGATTGTCTGGGGTGTTCTGTGTTTTCATCAGAATTTTAGGATTGTTTTTTCTATTTCTGTATAGAATGCCATTAGGATTTTGATAAGAATTCTATGGAATATGTAGGTCACTTTGGATATGAACCTTTTAGCAATATTAAAGTCTTTCGATTCATGAACAGGGGGTATCTTTCTTTTTTATGTCTGTTTTAATTTCTTTCTTCAGTGTTTATAGTTTTCAGTATACAAGTTTTTCACTTCTTTGGTTAAATTTATTCCTAAATACATTATTATTTTTGATGTTATTATAAATGAAATTGTTAATTTCATTTTCAGAGAGTTTGTTGTTGTTTGTGTATAAAAATGCAACAGATTTTTATATGTTGATTTTGTATTCTGCAACTTTTTAAATTCATTTGTTAATTACAACAAAAAAAGAAAGAAATCATGGTTGGCCCATGTTCTGAAAGGCATCATAGGGAACATGGCTCTGTAAATTTTCAAATTAATAGTGAGTTCCAAGTTGATTTAGGTAGCTGTGACTTAAATAACACTGATAGGTCATTTATTATCATTTGTGATACAGCAGGAAAATACAGAATTGCCAAAGTAATGATTATATGGAGCTCCAGCTAAATTCAATTGATTTATCCATGTTCAATATCCCAGTACCTAAAAATAAAAAGTGTTCAAATTCTAGTGACTTTAATGGGTAGAACTAGAAAAGAAAGTGAAGTCTTTAAATTTTTTTATGTCCTAGGAGATATGAAGTATTTGTGGACTGAAAGATTAAATAATAAAAATACAACCAACTAGCATTTTAGGGATTTTCAAAATATTCGTCTTCTCATTCAAATTACATGCAAATTTCTTTGAAGGATTAAGAATGGTTTTTAGGATTTGAGTGAAGAGGTGATCTATCTGAAAACATCATATAAATTGTCCCTACTTTTTCATTAATCTGTAATTAAATTATAGATTAATGTTTTCCTTCATTTTAAAAACTCTTTTAGCTTCTCAGAGACTCTTATTCCTTTGATATTTTAAGACACTAGAAACATACCAGTATATTATATTATGTAAAGGTTAAACACTCCAAAAGTTGTCTTTTACTCTTGTTGTGACAGAGAGTCATTGGAAGAAGGATAAAATGATTTGACCTATATAATATCATTTGCTGTGTTGAGTATTGAAAGACTGCCAGGTTGGATATAGGAAGATCAGACAGAAGTCAAATGAAGTAATCTGGTAGTAATTTCTGTCAGTGTTTTAACAGCGGGTGTGGTGAGCTGTGGTCAGATTCTGAATGTATGGGTTGGCCAAAAAAGTCTATTTAGTTTTTTTCTGTAAAATAAAAAACACATTCTTCATTTTTACCAATAACTTTATTGATTTGGATATTTTGAGTATGTTGGCTATCTCCTTCCATTGCCTTCTAGTGGGTAGAGGCCAGGGGTGCTGCTAAACATCTTCTAATGCATAAGACAGCCCCAAAGCAAAGAATTATTTGCCCAAAATGTCATTAGTACCAAGAAACTTCACAAACTGCTTTTGACATATTTGATCAATCACAGCACCTTCTCCACACACTGCACAAATCTTTTTTTTTACATTTCAGTTGCATTTTAACCTTTTTTTGAAATAATAAAGCATAATATGCCAAAAATTTTGCACATCTTCTTCCATCTTCAGCATTAAAATGGCTGCACCAAAATTTACCAATTTTGATACATTTTTAATGCATGCTCATATGACAGCTGTCAAAATACATTTTAAGAAAATAGTTTTGAATGAAGTTAAAGACAACTAAGCACTACTAGAGCCATCACACTGAAAAAAAAAACTAAACAAAACACACTTTTTGGCCAAGCCAATATTTAAAACCTGGCATTAACAGTGCAGACTTACAGTTTGGCTGTGGAATGAATATGAGAGAGAGGGATACAGAATAACTTCGAGGTTGTTGGTATGAGAAAACAGAACAATAGGAATGCCATTTACTAAAGTGGGGGGGCAGGAGAGAAGCAGGGATTTTGGTGGGAGTGTACATATAGCTGAGTTTTAAGACTTGTCAAACTTGAGTTGCTTTTTAGACATATATGTGGCAATGTGTCATATAGTACAGCTCACTATGACCTACAAAAGTGGAGTCCTTACTGAAGACAGACACTTGGGAGTTGAATAGAGAATATGAGGTATTCAAAGCCATGACACCGAATGTGATCAATAAGAGAATGTGATCAACACACTCTAACATTTAGAGCATAGGAATAAATCAGAGATAGGAAAGAACCAGCAACGGAGTCTGGGAAGGAGATTTAAAGAGGGAAGGAGAGAAGAAGGAAAAGAAAGATAGAGAGAAAAAAACAGAAAAAAAGAGTATAATGTACTAAACGTACTAGGTAGATATCAAGTGAGGAAATTGTTTTAAGAATAGAATTATCAACTGGTTAATGTAGCTGATAGGTCAAGTGAGAATAACTTTTAGCTTTAATGCTGAGGGTGTCATTCATTGGTAATCTTCAAAGGGCAGCTTCAGTGGAATTTATTAAGATCAAATGGGAGAAATTTTAGAGGCAGGGAGTATATTTTGCTGTAAAGAAAATGACAGATTCAGAAATGATTGAAGGAGGACTAGAATCATAGTGGGTTTTCTATTTTGACACTGTTAAAATAGGAAGAAATATTCAATTTTTATGCTGATGTATAAGATCCCATAGAGAGGGAAAAAATCATTTGAAGGAGAAGATTTCTGGGGAAATTTTAAATGATACATTCTATTTGAGGAAATTCCAAACCCATCCAAGGTAGCAGGTTATAAAATGCTGGCCCAGGATTCTTGTAACCTCACTCCTGAGTCTTTATTTTACCACATTCTGAGGAGTTTCCTGAAAGCACGACATGGTAGTCTGAATGGTAAGATGAAACCGCAGAGAAAGGAAGTGAATGGATTTTACAATTGCTATTGAGAATTTTAAAAGAATTATATGTAAGGACCTGGATTGTACTGGCATCGTTAAAGACATTTTAGTGCTAGCATATTTTATATCTAATGGAAGACTACTGCAAATGGGGTTTTTATGATCTGAATAGATTGAGACCATTTCTCCATTCCCCTTCTTTCTAAGTGTTCACTGAAAAACATAACAATAAAATCCAATGTGATAGATATCTGTTTAATTATCCTTCTGCTTAAATGCATTATATAAACTCTGCAGACATGTATGCTGCCTGGTTCTACAATAGTCAAATAAGGCTACTTTCATGAAGTCAATGTTGCTGGCTTGAGATCAGCTTCTGAATTTTAGCCACATGGGCAACTTAAAAAAGTTGATAGATTTATAGATATAGATATATCTCAAATAAGATAGTGGTCTTCAAGTCAATTCTTATTCCTTCTCTGAGACATCGCATCCAAATAATATCAATGAGAATAATATAAAATACAACTAAACCTTTTATTAATATCATCTTTTTTACATGATATATTTTTATTTGAGATGACATGAATTATCCACTCACTAAACACATAGTTGTTTCTGCATAGTCCTAAGTTAGAGAAAATTTTACTTTACGATTATTCCTTGTATATTACAAATATAGCATAAGACATTAGCAACTTTTGATTTGTTTGCTTGTTTTATGTTACTTTAAGAAGAAACATAGAGAATATCTTCCTCTTTAAGAATACTCATGTAATTGTACTTTCTTACCTCTCTTGTTTCTATGAGTTTAATTAGATATAACACAGTGAGGATCATCATAAAAATAACAGTAGCTAACACTTATAAAATGCATCTTACC